AAAATGGGTGATAGACACTTCTTAGTATTTTGATAATAACTTTATATTTTGATCTCCAATGGATCTGAAATTTGGACAGGAAATAGTACACATTTAGGGCTACAAAAGTGTATTGCATGAAAAATTTCTAATTCGACCTCTAAATGGGTCAAAACTGACCTGAAAGTCGCACCAAAAATCTGTGAACAGTACGAAGGAAACCCGATTTTTTCTGAACAGAAAATATCGGGTTTTGCTCGATTTTCTTGCCCTATAAANCATCGGTCCATTTGAAGTGATCAAGACAGTGGGCAAAGTAGCATACCAACTTCGGCTACCAGTATCATTGTCAGGAGTTCATGACGTGTTCCGCGTTTCTATATTGAGGAAATGTCAACCAGATACGTCGCATGTCGTGGATTTGGAGGATATTGAAGTGCAAGATGGAGTCACCTATGAAGAGCAGCCGGTGAAGATTCTTGATATCCAGGAGAAAGTGCTTCGCAACAAGGTAATCCAGCTGGTGAAAGTCCTGTGGCAACATCATGGCGTAGAGGAAGCAACTTGGGAACCGGAGTGGGAGATGCGAGAGAAATATCCATATTTGTTCGCTACTTGAGGTAAGTTTCGAGGACGAAACTTTCTTTAAGGGGGGTGGATTGTAAGACCCTGTACTAAAATTAAATAAGAATACTAATATCTTAAGAGTTTTCCAAATATGAATAAAATGAGGATAAAAACTTAGAATCATTGTTGAAATATTAATCATGAAGTTTGAGTTTCGAACGGATTGACTTTTGGGTCAAATTTATTTTTTTTTTTTGGATGTGTTTAAGATTGATAAGGGTAACTAAATAAATATATTAATTTTTTTTTATCAAAATAACATTACCATTGAATTCGGGAGGTCGGAAAACATTGGGAGAGGTAATATGGGATGTATTAGAAGTTAGGAAGTATTTTAGAAGTAAAACCAAATTGGAGTGAAATTGGGTAAAAAGGGGTGATGGACACTGCTTAGTATTTTGATCATAACTTTATATTTTGATGTCCAATTGATCTGAAATTTTTACAGGAAATAGTAGACATCTAGGGCTACAAAAGTGTATTTCATGAAAAATTTCCAATTCGACCTCTAAATGGGTCAAAACTGACCTGGAAGTCGCACCAAAAATCTGTGAACAGTACGAAGGAAACCCCAATTTTTCTGAACAGAAAATATCGGGTTTTGCTCGATTTTCTTGCCCTATAAAAACCTAATGTCGTCCCTTTAGCATTCATTTCACCCCTCCAAACCCTAGGAACCATTTTAGAGGAAGAGAGGAAGATAGAAATACCAATCAAGAGGGATTTATACCTTGTAGAAATCAAAACTTCAAATTCTTCAAGAATACATTCTCCTCCCATTTTCTTCCATTCTTGCTACCCTCTCACCCAAATCTTTTGAAACCCTAGGAGGAGAAGATTAAGAGGAAAAGAAAGGAGAGCAAGAAGGTCTTGAAGCTTGGGTCTTAGCTTGGAATCTTGATTTAAGGTAGGGGATTTTCTCTCAATCTCTCACATTGAGGCGATATATATATATATAGATATATATATGTATATAGATATATGTTTCTTCACTCTCCTTCTCATATATATAATATGAAATACATGATTCTTGTTCTATTTGTAATAAATGCCATGTTTTGAACAATATGAAGGGTGGGTAACCACCAAAGCTCTATTTTTTTTTTTTTTTATCTTCAAAGCCCTAGTTTTCAAGAAAAGGGGATTTTCTCCTAATTTCTTCTTTGTCTTTGATTTTAAAACTTTAGTGTTGAATATTGTATAACAAAATGATATAGATTACGATCTCTTGCATATTTTCTTGGATTATTCGATTATATGACAAATGTGAAAACAAAATTGGGGATTTTACTATATTTGGGAAATTGTTGTGAATTGTGAATATTCTTGATTTCCTCATTGTATGGTTGTTGTGATGGACTTGGATTACCTTCGAAAGATGCCGTAGAGTGTTCGAGGTTAGTCTATCCCAATGGGGGGTGAGATGGTTGTCTAATGCTCGTAGTGGATCGTTGTTGTGCTCGCGATCACTATTGTTCACATATACACCGAGGAAAAGGGTTAGTATACTAGACACCTTGGGAGGATTTCGTCAATGCCGTAGGAGACGGTACACGCCCTTCCTAAAGAGATTTGTGATTGTTGGTTGGAATTGGTGGACTAGGCATGATCGTTAGGTAGATTCACGAGAAGCAATCAACATACATGGTACGGGGATGAACCAAAAATACATGGAATCGGGAGTTGGGTCGTTCTTGCCGATGCATTGGTATGGGACAATGCTTAGGGAGAAGCCCTTCTTAAATAGCTTAAATTAGAATTTTGTTTATCGATGCTAAACTCACTTTATTCTTTTAACTGATTATTGCTATTGTTTAAACTTGAGATCTCTTTTAAAATGTCACTGTTTTCATTCCAAACCTATATATATGTTAGTTGTGAAATGAGACCGACCGTTTGCTATGTTTTTCAAACCTTGTTTGAGTTGAGAGGATTTTGCTACAGAGCTTCGTGCTCACCCCCTACAAATAAAATTTTTTCAGATTTCACACTTGAGGAGGAGTTAGGAGCCGAGGAGCCCACCCATTGGAAGACTCCGCTTGACGGGGATGTGGATCCCGAGGTGGACGCTTAGAGCGACACTTTTATTTTGTTCTAGACTAGATTATGCTTAGAATATCCTTTTGAACTCTAGTTCATTTCTGTTATTTCCGCTGCGTTATATTATTACATTTTGGAGATGTAAAGGCCAAGATTAGACCTATTAATTTGGGATGATAGTGTGGATATGACATATGATGAATGCAAGTTTATTTTATGATGGAAAAATGGACCCGGTGTGGTCAATAGTTATGCATATGTGGACCCGGTGTGGTCAATTGTAATATAATTGTACAGGTTGTGTTTTGGGTAGAGCTCCCCGTACAAAGGAGACTGCCCAAATTTTGTTAAAATATGAATGGTTGATGAATGAAACTTTCGTCGTGATGAATTTTACTTAATGCTCTCATACGGTAAATGGTTTTTAGAATGTAATGTCACCCACGGGGGTTTTTGGGGCGTTACAATATCTAACTCTTCTTCCCTCCACGTAATTGTCAAAAGTCTTTGCCGGTAAACCCTTCGTGAAAGGATCTACCAAGTTGTTTGCTGATGAAATCTTGGTCACAATACATCACCTCTTCCCACGATATCTCGTATAAGGTGATATTTATGCTCAATGTGTTTCCCTTTCTTATGGGTTCATGGCTCCTTTGAGTTAGCAACCACTCCACTATTGTAACAATAAAGTGTAATAGTCGATATTGCCAAAGGTTCCACTTCTAAATCTATAAAGGAAGTTTTTGCAGACAAATTGCCTATTTGGCTGCCTGCCTGCCTCAGAGGCTACCACGTATTTGACCTAGAATCAACAATACAAGATTATTTGATATTCTTCCAACTTATGACTCTACTTCCCAAAGTAATTTCCTGGAGTCTTTATTTGACCGAAAATCAGAGTTTGTGTACTCGAGAGGCACTATACTATCTACCTCGTAAACCGACATATAATCTATTGTCCTTTTCAAGTACTTGAGAATATATTTTACCGCAGTCCAATGCTCTTACCTAGGATTAGACTGATATCTACTAACCATGCTAACGACAAAACATATATCAAGTCTAGTACAAAGCATAACATACATGAGACTTCCAACTGCTAAAGTACAAGGAACCATCTTTATACTCTCTATCTCTTTAGGTGACCTATGACATTGCTCATTTGTTAGAGAAATTTTATGTCTGAAAGAAAGAAATTCCTTCTGAAAATTTTGCATGCTAAAACGGGCTAGAATGGTATCGATATAGGTAGCTTGAGATAAGCCTAATGTCTTATCCTTGCGATCTTGTATACACTCGATCCCAAGGATATGTCTAGCTTCTCCCAAATCCTTCATATCAATCTAATTGGATAACCATATCCTAATAGAAGATAATACCCCCACATCGTTTCTGATGAGCAAGATATTATCCATGTAAATTACTAGAAATATCACTACGTTTTTGTCATGCTTTTTGTACACACATGACCCATCCGGACATTGATCAAAATCATAAGATATTTTAGTCTGATTAAAATAAATGTTCCAAGACCTAGGTGCCTGCCTAAGTTTATAAATTGATCTTTTAAACTTGTATACTAGATACTCTTGGCCATTTGCTACAAATCTATCTGATTACACCATATAGATACACTTGTCAAGATTCCTATTAAAAAAATTCTATATTAACGTTCATTTGCCAAATCTCGTAATCGAAATGAGCCATAATGTTTAAATGAATTCGGATTGATTTTAGCATAACCACCAACACAAAAAAATCTTCTCATAGTCAATTCTTTATTTCTAGATAAACCCTTTTCACAACAACTCTTGCCTTAAAAGGTAAGACGTAATGGTGGTGATGGCGGTTTTATGCTTCAATATGTCCGAGCTTTGCGGCTTGGAAGTGGATGAGGGGATTGGGTGTAATATTTTAAAGTTGAGGGGATTTATGTGATTAAGATTTGGGATTGGATATATTATTTTAAAGGTGAGGGGATTTACGTGATTGACAAATCTCAAGATGTGGAGATATTATTATCTTTATTTTTACATCGCAATTTAATAGAAAATTGTTTCACTTTATTGTTATAATATACAATTTAGTTTCAATTTACTACGACACGTTAATATTTGTCATTTGAAAGATACTAGGCGTTTGTATACTGTGTTGATGTGAAACAATTTCAAGTGGTTGAAGGACTAATGTAAACAATTTTAAGTGGTTGAAGGACTAATGTAAACAATTTGGTAGTTTAAAGGCAAAATAAGATAAAAATGATAGTTTAGGGTTAAAAAGTGTAATTAACCCAAAACAAAATGCTTGGCGTGAGCCTCCGGCGGCTCTCCGGTGTAAAATCCATCCCCTCCAAAACCCAAAACCCTAAACCCTATTTTATTTTCTTGATTCTCTCTCTCTCTGTCTCCCTCTCCCTCTCTCCCCCTATGCAATCGTTCAACCAAAACAGTGCCCGTGCGTATGGCAAGTCCACTGGTCATGGCTTCTACAGCAGCTTTTGCTTCAAATACGATCAGCCAGCTAAAGATTTGTAGTTTCAGAACTTCAGCACCAATCACAAGGGCTCTGATTCCACCAAAAGGAATAATCTTTGGCTCTTCATTTAGGTTGGCTTCACCTTCCAGGAGGGACTCATTTTCCACGATCAGTAACTACCAGAGCCAGACGGTATGATCTTGTCTTCCCTTCCCCCACCCTCATGGAAATGCTTTATGATTGTACTTGCTGAGCTTAATATACATGAAAACATGTTGAAGACCAAATAAAATGACCAAAAAGTTTGAAGTCTGACAAAAAAACCTCTAAATTACAATAATATGTTATAACAAGGAGTCAAGGGTCACATGGCAAGTTTATTCATCTTAAAAGTTGTTCTCTAGTTTTGAATTTCATCAATGTCTCCAAAGTTTTGAACTATTATCTCAGATTGTTNGTATTGCTTCATCATCAATATTGAGAATCTTTTAAGTAGGAATGCCGACAGTAGAATACAAGCTGTGAATGTCTTGGTATTATAAGTAGTCATCTTTAATGCTACACTCTGGAATATTACTTGTTACTATGTCTGGATTCTGAAACATCTTATCAGTCTTTCTACAATATAGCATTCCAGTTCCTTCTGTTTATCCAACCCTGGTTGGCCTACACTGCCCTTAAGTATGACTGCAGGTATTTGATACCTTTTCTTGTCCAGGACCTCCAGGTCATGATGTCCTGAATTATGATTGCTCATTTGTTCTGACCTTTGTTACCTAAATGCAACGGCTATAAGCTTTCTGAAAGATATTTTGGTTCCATAATTCATTAAACATTAAGAAAATATGAGAAAGGGCACCACCACTCCCTCCCCCCCCTCCCAAAACACACCCGCCAAATCACAAGCAAAGAAAAGAATGTTGAGAGGACTGAAACAGAGATTGGAGATTGAACGAAGTAGGCATGAAATTGGACTCATATTTTGAAGAGGATGTATTGAAGTGCAACCTATATTTAGCATTGATGAATTTGGTCATTGCACAGAATATATATATGACATTGGTAAGCTCATTTTGTATTCTGTAGTGGGATTGGATACACTCTGAAACAGCCTTGGAAGTTCAAATTTCTTGCTCATATGGATGGTGTATTAGACATCTCCATCGTGAAAAGCGCATGATTGAAAGACATCAAAAGAGAAATAAATTGAAGAGAGAGAGTCTACACATGATTTTACTAGTGTGGACATACAATAAACTTTTGGTTGTAGTAGTCTTGATTCCTGAAGATGTCCCTTTCTCTTTCTCTTGTTAATATGTAGGTTCAAACTAATCTGAATAATCCAATACTGATTGCAGGAGGAGCTTCCTAGCTTCTCATTTCTGGAAGGAATTTTCATGCAATCAATATCTCCTTCGGAAATTGGCAGTTTGAAGCAGGCTGATCCTGAGATACAGGCCTCGAAGGTGGTTGGGGAAGTGAAATTGGACTCATCAAAGTTCGAGGAGGAGGCAAAGAAGATTCAAACATCAGTTGCATTCCATCTGCAAAAGAAATTAAAGAAAGATAGAAGGTCCCTCTATCCTCACATAACTGCAGCTCCAAGGGACAAGCTTGACTGCAACGAGATTCTCCTATATCCCCACATTACTGAGTCCACATTGAAGATTATTATCAACAATAACACTTTGGTTTTTACAGTACACAGACGTGCCAACAAGAGTAATATAAAGGATGCTGTCAAAAAGATGTTCAACATTCAAAGCAAGAAAGTGAATACCTTGGTTATGCCTGATGGTACGAAGAAAGCATATGTTAAGTTGAAGCCGGACAATAATGCATTGGAAATTGCAAAGAAGATTAAGATGATCTAAGTTGGAGAGTTCGATACTCTGGTCAAGCAATTACATTCACGAATTTTCATCTAAGGTGTGTTTTGTGTTGGAGCTTCAAGCAAGAAGCATTTCAAAGTCAGCTTTCTAGTTGTATATTCCTGGGTTGTAGATCAGACAGGCAGTCTTTTGATGCAATGTGGTTTGATTGACATTGGAACAGCAGCAGAGACACAATTACATTGAGTTTATGATTCAGGAAGAGTGGAACTAAATTGAAAAACTTCATTGCTCTCTCATCTAAAATCATGAAAACAACATACAGTTCAATGCATTGCTCTATGCACCTTGTCATGCACATCATACCAATGGGTTCTTTTTTCCTCCATTTATTCAACTGTAACTACTATATTCTTCACTCTACTCTTTTCTCTCTATTAGTCGGTCACTCTTTTTTTTTTTTGGATCACAAGAGAACTACAATATTTCTACTTAAAAGAAGTAGTGAGACAACCTCTATATAACCCACACACACACCCGAAGACTATCGGATGTGGGATAGCCCCCCAGCCCATCACCACGTAGGCTCGAGACCTTGTCCGATCTTAGTCGGGCCTCGGGGGATGCAACTGAGCTCACATGGGACACACCCTGGATACATTTATTTGTTTTTTATCACAAGAGAACTACAACAGTTTTACTTAAAAGTAGAAGTGAGACAATCTCTATATAATCCACTCACACACCCGAAGACTATCCGATGTGGGATAGCCCCAGTCGGTCACTCTTGATTCTCTCACTATCGTGTATAGGTTAAGGGTCTAATTCTTGCAACTGCAAATATTGGTTTTTTAATATCTATTCTTTAAGGGTTTTATTGTTCCCTTTCATTGATTTCTTTTCAACTCTTTGTGAGTACTTTATCTTCGTGCATTCTTCGAAAGTTGTTAAAGGGCGTAATGAAAGGAAACCTTTAAGAAAAACTGCCTACTCTCTAAAGAGGTCTCCACAGAGCAATCATGTCTCAGTCACTTNCGAAAGTTGTTAAAGGGCGTAATGAAAGGAAACCTTTAAGAAAAACTGCCTACTCTCTAAAGAGGTCTCCACAGAGCAATCATGTCTCAGTCACTTTGTTTCTTTCATTTTTGTGGGGTTGATCTTCAAAGTAAAAGTCTTCTATGGGACCAAACAATGAATTCAATTTTGGGAAAGGTATTATATCCAGACTATTTGGACGAGATTTCTTATCAGCGAAGTACAAAGATATAATGATTTGCTTTGCCACATACCTATTAGTGTTGAAGTGCTCAATTGATAATCTTTACTTTACTCACATTAGACCTACGAATTTTATTCCAACAATTATATTGGGAAAGATAAGAAAAATAATAATAATTACGTTCAGCTTAACCAAGATGTTTGTGTTGCAAATTTTTTGATATTCACTGTGATATGTAAAAGTAGAAGTTAAAACTTTCTCAAGAACAGTATGATTTGAAACTTCTATGATACTAATTAACACATTGCTTAGATAAAAAGAAGAGAAAACTAAAGAAACTTTAAATAGAACTCATTTTTGCACTTTTTTTTTGTCTATTTGAAAAGGAGGAAAAAGAAGTGTAATGAAAAGACTAGAATAAAGCATTCTTTTACGTCACAAAAGCGATGCTATTACTTTAAAAGTGATTTGATGATATGGAATATGGAGAGAGCATAGGGAGCAAAGAATTAAGTGGGAACTATCTTTTTATTTTCTTCTGCCTTCTCATGATCTCCAACCATTTTGTTAATTTACATTTGAAGAAAGCTTTTCTTCTCCTTCCTCCTCCTCCTCCTCCTCCGTTTTCTTGAGTTCTCCCTCTCTCTCTCTCTCTCTCTCTCTCTCTCTCTATATATATATATATATATATATATATATTGTCCTCCTTTGTTTAAAAAAACAAAAAGGTGTGAGAAAAGGTTTCACTCATATATTAATAATTTCATATACAGGGTAACAGAACCATTATTAGAGCTGTAAAATGCCTTACCCACAACCACATATCTAATTTAACTTTACATCATAATCAAATTTCAAGTCACCATGTCATCCACTTCCCGTAAAACAGTTCCTTTGACAGAAAATTTTCAAAGGGAAAACAAAAACCCAGAAGTTCAAACATAATGACAAGTTAAATAGCCAACTGATGAACTATTTCTAAGGTTCAGCTACGAGACTGAAAATATTATTTTTTAGTACCATACTTTTTTTTTTGTCTAATGAAAATAAGACATTCGTGTATATAGTTTTCTATTGCATTATTATCCCCTTACTTTTTGTGTTTTATCATCAATGACTACATATAAATCAAATCAAGATCTAAGGCGACATATCATTTCTTTGCACCATTGTCATATCCACTATCTTATTATAAAAAGCTAGTAGTATATGTCAGCTAGCACATAGCGTGAAACTGCCCGTTTACACGAGATCACCAAAGGGTGGATAGAGCTTCTCTTTGGCAAAGCACTGGTTATGGAAATAGCATATTGTGTGCTATCTACACTGTAAGCTTTGTTCAATTTGGACGAGGAAATCCAGCACAGTGCTCTCAGTACCTGACCAAACTAATTATTAGGGTTAAACAAAGGTTAAAGGCAGTCCAACTTCGACTTTATATTTGGACCCATTGGGTCTTAAAAGTCTTCATCAGTCTCAGGTTTCTATAACTTAGAAGTGAAGGAAAGAAGGGACAAGGCCACATTGCCTTGTTGCCCTTTTGTAATCTTTTAACCAAATTGGTTCCATATGGCGGGGGTTCTAATCAAGGGGCCGAACAAGATATATTTGGGGTCTAATCTATACCTACCCTACCCTACCCTCTGAATATGGAAAGATCAGCCAGCCCTACCTTACACATTTTGCTTCAAGCAATTAGGCTTGGATTTGCTTTACTTGTTGGAAATTTTGCTCGTGGGACCCTTTGGCATCCAACGGTTTTGAAGTTCTGTTCTAGCATTGTTGACAAATAAGAAGGTTAAAAAGTGACTAAGTTAATGTACGGGATTTCTTTTATTTTGGGATTTAGGAGGGTTAGATATACATAATCTTACTTCTGTAAATAAAAAGATTGTTTCCGTAAGTTGAACGGGTGACCTCGATGTCACAATAGAACAATTTTATCGTTTAACCAAAATCCGTCCTAAAAAATGTACAGGGTTACTTATCCAAAAAAATGAATTAGAAACTACATAATAGAAGAGCACAACAATACAAAGGTTACTTACCCAAAAAGACAATAAAAAGGGTCAAATTTAATTTAACGTAAAAAAAAATCTATATTTAGGGATCAAAGCTCACCACCAAGCACCAACGTTAAAATAATCACTTCCTACATCTACATGGGATATAGTAAAACTTCAAAAAACAAAAATACCAATTGACAAATCTCATTCTCCACCACTGTCTCCAAAACTATCGCTATTTGACACCACCACCACTGACAACTCTGCCATCAATGGTGCCACCACACCATCGCTGCCATTACCGTTGTTATTGTCCCCATGGCTACCAACAATGTTACCACCTCTGCCCTGCATCCACACAACCATATCGTTACAGTCCTCATGTCACCTCCTCCACCATCATTGTTAGTCCCACCATCAAAAGGATAGATGGATAATACACCCAGAGAGAGAGAGAAAGAGAGGGGGGTATATTTAAGAAATGAAAATTAAACACATCTTGTTTGAAGCGAAGGATAGAAGTAATTATCCAGAAGGGGAAGGATACAGTCATAATTCTTATTTATGACGATTAAGCTAAATCAAAGGGAAATATCAGCAAATTAAATTTAATTATTATTCAAGGATTATCCATTGCACCTTTGTGTATAGCTACTTTAGTCACACACTAAAATTGATCTACATTAATTATCATTCGATTAATATGATACTCTTTTCAAAAGGTAATGAAATTGGTGATGACATATGTATATATCTTCTTTTGTCAAGGTTTGATTGGATTACATCATTGACAACAATATATATATATGGACCCATTTATTTTAAAATATAAAGCCACCCATCTCTTTGTTATTATGCACTAAAGCTCCCAATTCTTTTTTACTTTAATCCCAAGCCCCTCAAGTTTAGTAAAGAAAATTGAAATTGATGTTTGGACTTGCTTTTGATCAATAGAAACATTCATTTTTTTTTTTTGGGTATATTGGAAAGTTGAAACAACCATATTAGCCGTCTATGATTGATTCCTTTTCTATGGACATTATGGTAATTTTCTACCCCTTGCCTTTTTTATATATATAAAAAAAAACTTAACATCAACATGAGGTCATTTTATTAGGTTATTTAGGAGAGTTAAGTGCGGTTTATTTAATTATCAAAATGCCTTTTAATGGCTTCTTGTTAGTCAGACTTTTCAATGTGGCAAAGTACCAAATACGCCAACTGAAGAAAAAATATTGCTTTAGCAGTATATTAGCACCTTAATTTTGTCTCAACATGGACGGCTGAATTTATCTAATGGACAGCATTATCCCTCGTTAACCTGGCTTATTCATATCACGCATCAACAAAGAGAAGGACAATTTTGGCATTTAATTACTTGCGAGTTAATCACAAAGTTCTAGTGCTCTATGCATCAGAGTCATGTCTCTAGAGTCTTAATTAATGTTATACATATGATCAAACCTTACACGAAACTGCACTATATATGCTTATGCTTGCGCAAATCGATTCATTTTGCGAATTAAAAGAAACATGTATGCGAGAAGAAGAATTATTATGAGACTTTTAGATTGCCAAACACCATTAATTAAACAAAAAGACTTTTAATTAATCTAAAAACCCAACTCCGAGTGAATCTTTCTTTACAGAACCATAAGAACTTTGGTTTTGCCAAAAACCACCATTTTCCATAGCACCCAACTCCAAAAATCATCCGGTACCCCTAGTTCTTGTCCTCTACCATCTTTTAATTTACAGAGAGAGAGAGAGAGAGAGAGAGTCCATGCATATTATGGCGCTTAGTGAACTGGTTCTTATGATTGTGTTACGTGATTAAAGGTTGTGGGGGTTTCTGATAACTGCTGTTGAAGTTGGTGAACAAGCAAAACTTGACGTATGTCCCATAGTCTCTGCCGGAGCATAACGGCCTCGGACCGGAGCCGGTGGTTATCATTTCCAAGTAGTTGGCAGTGATGAGTAGCCACACGCAGCTGGTTCGCAAGTTCCCGGTTTCCGATCTTAAGCCGGGTCACTTGGTTCCTTATGTTCTCCAGATTCTTTTGTTTCCTCATCCGGGACCGCCTTGCTGATTCCCGGTTCGATATCATCCGCCTCTGTTTTCGTTCGTCAATTACAGAAGCCATCTGGTTGGATTCTTCCGAACCGGATCTTGACTTGTTTTTCTTCCTGTTCGGTTCATCTGAACCGGAGTTTGGACTGAGAGAAGTTGGGGTTGAGTTATCTGAACCGGAGTTTGGATTAAGGGAAATTGGGTTTTGCTCATATGGACCGGAATTTGGACTAAGAGGCATTAGATTCGAGTTATCTGAACCGGAATTGGGACTAAGCGAAATTGGGATTGAGTTCTCTGAACCGGAATTGGATAAGACCGGTTTTTGTGTTTGATTTAAGCAAAAAAAGTATTCCCCATCTTGGTTTTGAAAATCAAAATAGGGTTCTTGACAATCCCATGGCGTAAAACCACCTTGGAAATCCGGAAATGGGATTGTGAACAATCCGTCGGAGGAAAGCGTAGTTGGAACGGTGGACAGCATGACCGGAAAACCGCTTATAGATAGGGAGAAAGGTTGGAGGAGGAAAGGGAAGAAAGGAGTGGTAGGGTGGCGGTATTTAAAGGACAATTGGGACGCTGAGGTGGTGGTCCACTCAGGGACATTTTGGATATAAAATTGAGTTTGGGGTGGTCCACCAGGGGTATTTTGGGTATAAAATTGCAATTGTGGCATAACTTTCGAGTCAGGTGGCACTAGCCTTGGCTTTAAATGTGGTGACGTAAGCTGGTGGGAGGTCTTTAATTTTCGAGCTCGCTGATTTATGCCATTTGGAAAAATTAAAAAAAGGCGTGACAAAACAGAACGTTCAGAGATTTTCTCGTTAAATTTTTATTGTTGAAATTATAAAACTTTTGGCCATGCTCATTATTCTTTTTAAAAATAAATTTAATTAAATTAATATAACAATCAACTATCAAATCTCATTAGACTACTACGGTGATTTTCAAGCTTAGTCACGAAGGAACGATACAGTTGGATCACAGTGTACACGTGTCTTGATCAGGCGCTGAGCATTGCAGAGCCAATAGATTCAATGGTGTGTACGGAGAGCCACGTTGGATTGTGCACTTCGGCTAGGCGCGCCGGCTTCTGTCATGGCTCATAATCTTTAAAGCCGGCCCCACTTGCCTTCGTCCTAATTAAATTAACATGTATTGATTTGTGATTTACAAAACTGTCCCCACAAAAAAAAAGTTGTGTGTGGTGGGAAACCACAAATCACCATCAAATATTAGTAGAATAGGTTTCTTAGAGACATTACAAAATACATAGAAATATTACAAGATTATTGAATAATGATGAGAAATATTTTATTTTTTATTATTAAACCCACCTTATAAATAAATATGGGTTTCATGAATTAAGTTGCTTAATAATAAAACATCAGAGAGCCACTCATTTACATGTTTTCGTTTTCTTAAACGATAAAAATG